AGCAATGTCGGTTCAGTTTTGTTTCTGAAGAAGTAGGGATTGATGATAATGATTTAGGTGATATTGGATTTGATCCTTATGAGTTTGCCAATGTGATTGGGGATGGAGATCAACCCTTGTACCCTGGTAGCAGTAAGTACACGATGTTGTCAACTTTGGTGAAGTTATATAATTTGAAAGCAAAACGTGGGTTGAGTGATGTTTGTTTTACAGAATTATTGATACTTCAAAGAGATTTGCTTCCATAAGGAAATACACTACCTTCCTCTATGTACGAGGCCAAAAAGACATTGTCTGCTTTAGGGATGAGTTATGAGAAAATCCACGCATGTCCTAATGACTGCATCTTGTATAGGAAGGATTATGAAGATTCAACTAATTGTCCAACTTGTGGTGTCTCAAGGTGGAAGGAAGGCAAAGATTCAATCTTGAAAGAGGATGTGCCAGCGAAGGTGGTGTGATATTTTCCTCCAATTCCAAGGTTTAAAAGGATGTTTCAATCACATAAGACAACTAAAAGTTTGACTTGGCATGCTGCTAGAAAATCAGTTAACGGTCAAATATCTCATCCAGCGGATTCCCCATCTTGGAAACTTGTTGATGATAAATGGCCTGAGTTTGGTAAAGAGCCGAGAAACTTGAGATTGGATCTCTCATCTGATGGATTCAATCCCCACAATTCTTTAAGTAACAAATATAGTTGTTTGCCAGTTATCTTAGTTACATATAATCTCCCACCATGGCTATGCATTAAACGGAAGTTCATGATGTTGACCTTATTGATTTTCGGTCCTAAACAGCCTGGAAATGATATAGACATCTACTTAGAGCCTTTGATTAATGATTTAAAATCTCTGTGGGATGAGATTAGAAGAGTGTATGATACACATATAGGAAAATACTTTACACTCAAAGATGTATTATTGTGGACAGTTAATGATTTTTCTGCCTATGGAAACTTATCTGGTTGTGTCGTTAAATGTAATAAAGCTTGTCCAATATGCGGCGATGATATACATCTAGTCACAGGTTGAAAAATGGCCACAAAATTTGTTACATTGGGCATAGAAAATGGCTACCAATCAATCATCCATATCGGAGGCAGCATGCAGCTTTTAATGGGAAACCTGAATATGGCACGCCTCCCGAGCCATTAAACGAAGAAGAAGTGTTGCACATTGCTGAAGATATTAATTACATATGGGGCTCGAAAAATGGGGAAAGTGTTGGTGAGAATGATGGTGACAGAGTTTGTTGGAAGAAGAAATCAAAATTCTTTGATCTCGAGTATCGGAAATATCTTCATGTGAGGCATGTCCTAGATGTTGTGCATATTGAGAAGAATGTTTGTGATAGTATCATTGGTACATTGCTGGAGATCCCTGGAAAAAATAAGGATGAGATTGCTGCTCGGTTAGATTTATTGAACATGGGGGGTCAAAACTGATTTGCAACCCGAGTATGGACAGAGATGTACTCGCTTGCCTCCAGGGCCTTGGAATTTTTCAAGAGCAGTGAAGAGGGTGATTTGCAATTCTTTTTATGGTATGAAGGTCCCTGAAGGTTATTGTTCAAATATAAAAAAATCTTGTATCTTTAAAAGATTCAAGACTTCTTGGACTTAAATCTCATGATTGTCATACCTTGATCCAACAATTGCTCCCTGTGGCAATTCGTTCTGTTTTGGAGAAGCCTGCAAGGTATGCAATAACTCGATTGTGCTTCTTCTTCAATGCTATATGTGCAAAGACGGTAGATGTTTCCAAGCTAGATAAATTGGAAGAAGATGTAGTAGTTACTTTGTGTTTGCTTGAGAAGTACTTTCCCCCTTCATTCTTTGATGTCATGGTTCATTTAGTAGTACATCTTGTCAGAGAAGTTCGTCTATGTGGCCCAGTATATTTTAGATGGACGTATTCGTTTGAAAGGTGTATAAAAGTGCTAAAAGGGTATGTTCAGAATCGTACTCGTCCGGAAGGTTGCATTGTTGAGCAGTATATAGCTGAAGAAGCTGTAGAGTTTTGCACCGAGCGTTTATTTGAAGTTAATACAGTTGGAGTGCCTTCAAGCCAGAAGATGGGGGTTTCGAAGCCATTATCAGGTTGCACAGTAAGCTTAGTTGATCGAGACTTGTTAAACCTGGCACATTTATATGTCTTGGAGAATACGGAGGAAGTCCTACCTTATGTCGAGTACGTATGACTTTTATTTTTCATATGGAGCCATTTTAAATATTATTATTCCTTATATTTATCTTATATACAAGGAATCATAATGCTTGATTTTTTGGTGTCAATGTAGGAACATATGATCCACATCAAGATCATTTATCCAAAATTTAGAAAGAGAACAAAGTGGCTGCAAGATAAGCACAATAGCACTTTCATTCAATGGCTCCACTTTAAGGTATATATATGTTATTTAATGACATGCATATTCAACTTTTAATTTTCTTCCATTCTATATGTTAGATTGAATTAAGGTATATATGATTAATTTGCAGGTTCAAAGTGAACTTAATGGGGAAGAGAATAATGGCGTATCAAAAAATTTGAGGTGGCTAGAGGCTGGTCTAAGCATGGCACTGCGATCATATAAGAGCTATCTTATTAATGGTGTTAAATTTAACGCCAAGGCATAAGATGATGTGCAAACTATCCAAAATAGTGGAGTTTATTTACTTGCACATACTATGCAAGTTGCTAATGCCAAGGATAAAAACCCTATTGTCTCCAATATGGGTTTTTATGGTGTTATTCAAGAAATTTGGGACCTTGACTACCAAAAGTTTAGAATCCCAGTCTTAAGGTATGATTGGATAGATAACACTTCGGGCCTTGTAGTCGACGAACTTGGATTTACCCTTGTAGGTCTGAGTAAAATTGGACATAGGAATGACCAATTTGTTATGGCTTTTCAAGTCAAACAAGAATTTTATGTTGACGGCCTAATGCATCGTGGTTAGTCGGTAGTGTTATCAATGCCTAATAGAGAATATAATGATGTTATTGGTGATGATGTGCTAGGTGATACTAGAATTGAGTGTGAGCCATTTACTAGAGGGATACCAAATGTTGACACATTTGATGACTTAGTGGGTGAGTTTAGGAATGAAAATATTAGAGATGGGTGTGAAGATATATGGATTGATTGATTGTTGTAATGTGTGACCTTAGTTATTCAGTTAATTGTATGACATTAATTAATAATTTTGTACAACATTTTAATTCTTATCACATTTTCATTATGCAGGCTTTGGGCAAGACAAATCAAAAATTAAAAAAGCTGGGTTAAAGCTGTAAAGTACGACGGTCAAGTATAAAAATTGGAAACACAGACGTCTAAGATAAAAACAATGTTAGGTTTCAAAAAGGCAACAGACCATAAAACAAAAAAACAGTGATCTGAAAAAGAAATCAAGATGGTTTGCTTAAAATAAACCGTCGTCTAAGGCTCAAAATAAAGGCAGTTCAGTTCCATTAACTGTCGTGACAGATGTTATGCACGTTTGCTAGTATAAAACAACTGATGTCTCCGCGCATACATACGTCACAGCAGGTCAAACAAGCGACTTTTAAAAGGATAACCACGTCATTATGTAATAAGAACCGACGTGGTAAGTAATTACAACGTCAAGCAGGTGGATCTCTAGACATAGTGAAGTAATTAACCACGTCCTTTATTTTAAAACAACGGACGTTGAATCTATAATTCACGTCAGTTATGTTTCTATCCACGCCTTAAATACTATTTATAACGTCAGCCTTTGACATAAACCATCGTGGTGGAGAGTTTTGTATGTCAATATTGAGTAATATTATGTCATTTTAAATATTTTAGACGTCAGTTATTTAGAAAAAGTGACGTCTACCTCTGTCAAAGGGCCTTCTTTGTACTATTTAAACGAAGATTCTTGAAAAAACCAGACGTGGAAACAGGTTGACACGTATATATTTCGCGACATTGATAAATACATAAGCGTACGTGCTAGTCTAAAACAACTGACGTCTTCGCTCATACATACATCACGACAGGTTAAACAAGCGACTTTTAAAAGGACAACCACGTCATTATGTAATAAGAACCGATGTGGTAAGTAATTACAACGTCAAGTAGGTGGATCTCTAGTCGTAGTGAAGTAATAAACCACGTCCTTTATTTTAAAGCAACGGACATTGAATCTATAATTCACGTCGATTATGTTTCTATCCACGCCTTAAATACTATTTATAACATCAGCCTTTGACATAAACTGACGTGGGGGAGAGATTTGTATGTCGATATTGAGTAATATTTTGTCATTTTAAATATTTTAGACGTTGGCTATTTAGAAAAAGTGAATTCTATCTCTGTCAAAGGGCCTTCCTTTTACTATTTAAACGACGATTCTCGAAACAACTAGATGTGGAAACGGGTTAACATGTTGGTTCGTATTATATTTCGCGACGTTGATAAGTACATAAGCGTCGGTGATGCCTGGTGTAGGACATGGTTATTTTATTTTACGGCGGTTATTGAAAGACAAATGACATGTATTACTCTTTAAACGTCTGTTGGTTTGTTTGTACGTCATTGTTTATGGTTCACACGTCGGTTTCTTTCTTTTTTTAACGTAGTAAGTATTAACCACAACGGTTTCTAGCTTATCCAAGTCTTTTTTCCTTCATTTAGAGATGTGGATAATTATCTGTACGTCGGTTCTTCTTTTGATCTTGACATGTAACAGTCTTTAGACGTCTCCATTCTCATATAACCGTCGTCTAATGCTGTCGGAGATTTCATTTTAGGCTAATTATATAGTAATTACACATCGGTTAGTAATAAATCTGGACGTTGAATCCATGAACAACGTCGGGTATTAACCGTCATTGTTGATAGTACAAAAGATGGCGGTCGATTTCACGACGGTTGGAAAACCTTCTACACAACGGTGGTTTCCCGTCATATACGAAATTTTTGTAGTAGAGACATATACGAAATTTTTCTTACATTCTTTTCTATCAAGATATTGAGGAATCCTTATGTTGCCATACTCTACTACGCTTCCAAGGCTTCTCTGATTCTTGGCGAATGATTTCTCTTCCCATTCCACGGATCATGTCATGCATATGCACATTGTCAAATTCATCAATACTCACCAAACATCTATCCATGAGATTTTGAATGCCAAAAATTGTATATAAATCACATCCATCTAGTATGTTAACAATGTAGTCTTTGTCCTTTCCGATAAAGAAACAAGCAATATGGAGGAATAAATTTCGGTCATGGTCATCTTGCAAAGAGTCATAGCTTACTCTTTGTTTATTTACTATTTCACCATCTGGAATGGCTTCTAACTTCTCCAGTGCACTTTTCCATACATCTATACTTTCCCCCAACAAAGAAGAACCTATAACTTTAAGAGCTAATGGAAGTCCTCCGCTATGGTGGACTAGCTTTTCTGAATATTCTTTGTAACCTTCGATGGGATGGTCTTGGCCAAAAGCGTGCCAACTAAAGAGCTTCAATGATTCTTTGTAATGCAACGTTTCAACTTCATGCACCTTAGTAACTTGATGAGCCTTTAACAATCTTGCACGCCTAGTTGTTATTATGATTTTACTTTCCAGACAAAATCAATCTTTCATCTGAAGTACTGCATCTAATTGGTCCATATGATCCACATCATCAAGAACAAGGAGAACTTTCCTAGAGCTTATTGCATCTTCAATCTTAGTTAATCCTTCACTAACATTGCTTATTTTCATTTTTCTCCCATTCAAAAATATCCCAGCCTTTTTCCCTCGCATTATAACAGCACAGATCAGGGAGGGGAATGCGAAGGTTTCCCTTCACAAACTCTGTGTAGATTGTGGGAGCAAATATTTTCGTCTCCAATCAGGGCACGCCACGTGGAAAAGAAGATTATCTCTTAAATTAATTAATTGAACCAGTTTATCTGGCCAATTAATTAATTGGGATAAATATCTTAATTAATGAGATATTATCTTTATTTTATAAGATAATATCATTAATTTAGATATTATCCTAATAAAGAGAAAATAATATCATTAATTCAGATATTATTTTCATAAAAAGAGATAATATCATTTAAATAAGATATTATCTTCAATAAAGAGAAGATAATATCATTAAATCAGATATTATCTAAGTCCGACTCGATCCCTACGAATTTGGATAGAGAATAAACTCAGCATATTCTCTACGAAACCCTAGCCTCGAGGCTCCTATAAATAGACGACCTCATTCATCATTCAAGGTACATCTAAACCTTCTCCAAAACCCGAGAAAAATACCCGAAGCTCTCTCTCCCTCTCCACTCTCCATATTTTCTCCACACGGCTCTGGCCACCACACACGGCTCCGGCCGCCCGGTTCACACCATAAACACAACTCCGTACCCTTTGCTTAGCTATTGTTTTCCTAGGTGTACCCCTTTATTTCCGTCAATTTATGATATCCGTCAATTCCTTATGTGCCATCAATTCCTCGTATAACCATTGGTGACACACTCTCGCTGGTCTCGGTGACACGAGGTCAACCCGAGCCGTAAACTCGCAGGATTCAGGGGACATAAGTCAACCTGATCCGCACGAGTCCGGGTAACATAGAACTCATGGGCCAATTGTCAAGCATGTTGACTAAACTGAAGGCAACCAATAAAATCCGAAGGCAACATATTTACCGAAGGCAACATATTTGTATCTAGGTACCTGAGGTGGCTTAAGAAAATATAAAAATCTGAAAGATCTGATAAATAATTGAATTTCTGTTAAATCTAGAACTCTGCTGCCATTTGTCTGATATTAAGCTAGAACTTCTGTTTCCTATATCCTTAAAGGATATCCCACTCGGCATCATGTAAATTAAAATATTTAAAAGCACATGTCAATTTATAAAGCACTAATCTTTGAATAAAACTTATTCAAGATCAAATAATGGAATTAAATTGCATAAATCAGTTATAAAACAAAGAGTCCACTCACTCCTGATCTGAGCTAGCTGGACCTCTTGAAGGTCTTCCTGCGTGTCGGTCCGTGCCTGCGTGCCTGATCCGTCAGAAAAAGGCGGCGATCGGAGCGGAACAACGGCAGAGAAAAACCGATCCAAACCAGTGGAAACTTCCGACGGAATTCGGGTTTTCTGGCCGGGAAAGTGGGTGGGTCTTGATCGAGGCATCGAGCCAGTTCGAACGACCGGTGCCGGCCATTTCCGTGGCCGGAGTTGAGAGATTTGAAGAGAGAGAGAGTGGCGGCGTCGAGGAGAGAGAGAGAAGAAAGAGAGACTTATCGCGTGCGAGGAGAGAGAAAGGGAATCCCAGTTTTCTAAAACCCAACTTCAAAATATTTACAAGTTTGCCACTAGACTATTTTTTATCGTAAATCCTTCGATACAACTCCAATTCGAGTCTACTACGTGTCTACAGACTCATTTCGTCGCACTCTACGCAACGGTGCAAGTGGAAATTGCCAAATTCTTCTCCGGTCAAAAAGTCAACTTTCTTTAATAAATTATTCTATGGGCAAAGTTGTCTTTCCCTCAAATAAATTGATAATCATGCATAAGTAAGAATGCACGAGTTAGAATGTTTGAGGTTGCCAAAGTATTTTTATTGATCGCAAAGTTGACATGAATCTCATGAGCGTATTGAATTAGTTGATTTGTTGCAACCTGAGACTTGAGTGCTACAATGCTTGATTCCTTTTGGATATAATTCGTTACATGCTGGCAGTTGTAATACAGATACATATTTAAACATATATGCTTGTTTTACAGGTAGAATGTTTTTGGGAATGTTCAGTTTACAGGGGAGACTCTACCAAATTTTCGGTAGAAGTCACACTTGAATTTCAGTTAATTTCAGTTAAAAAGGGCAAATTAGTCTTTTGTGCCCAGCATTAGCCAGGTGTCAGGCACTCATAGGAAAAAGGAGAATTTTAGCTAAATATCATATTAATGGCAGCAGAGTTTTAAATTTATCAGAAATTCAGTTAATTAGCAGATCTTTTCAGAGTTTTATACTTTCTTAAGCCACCTTAGGTACCCATATATACACAGGTTGCCTTCAGATTTTATTGATTGCCTTATAGATACAGTTATTGAGATGCAAGTGGTGAGTGTAGTTTCAAAAGAGCAGACTTGAGAACCCAAGTAACAGATGTAGGCTCAGTAGCCTCACCTTTTTTAGTGATGGGTATGTAAATTTCGAGGACGAAATTTTTGTAAGGGGGTAGATTGTAACAACCCGGTCCTTAATTAATATTTAATTATTAATTTATTCCATTAAAAGACCATTATCCCCTAGAATATTTTATTAGTTTAAAAGTTGACTTTTTGATCGGGAAGGAATTTGGGGATTTCAGTTGTACCGTTACGTGGAGCGCAACGAAACGAGTCCGTAAACACATAGTGGACTCGAATCGGAGTTGTAACGAAAGAGTTACGATCAAAAGAAGTTCAGTGGCATAACCGTAAATATTACGAAGTTTAGTAGTTTTAAACTCAGAATTCTGCATTTCGAGGAGGGGGAAGCAGCCGACTTCGGGAGGTGTTTTCTCTCAACTACGACCCCCGATTCCAGCTAGACCAGTTTCGTTAGAACCACCACACTTCCCTCTTCTCGCCCCAGCCTTTTGCTACCCCGATCTGCCGCCGTGGTAGCTGGAAACAACCAATAAACAGGCGATGTTGGACAGTTTTTTCATAAACTTTCGCCGGCTCGTTCTCCGTCATCCGGCCACCATTTCCGGTGATGCAGGTATGGAAACTCATCTATTTCTCGAGCCCTAGCTGCTGGTTAGATAGGATTTCAGAAATTTCTAGCGTAGATAACTCGATATTGGATCCAAAGTTTAGCCAAATTTCAGGTTGAGATTCCGGCCACTTCCCGCCAGTTTTTGGGGTAGGTCCAAGAACAAAAGTGGATCCAAATAGGGTGTTATACCTAGGGTAGGAGTCTTGAGCCGTGGTTTAGAGTTTTTCCGGCGGAGTGTTATCGCTTTAGGCACCATGCTCTGCCAGAGCGTGTGGCGGTGATTGGGCAGCAGGGTGGGGACCAGAGTTAGCCCTAGAATAATCTCCTAGTCCCCACGAGTGCGTAGGATTTTGCATATCTTAATTCGGATAACGTTTGAACTATGAACGGATCTCGCCTAGTATGTGATTTCCGGGTTCAATACGTTTGAACCGTTGGATCGTAACCATTTTCAGATATGTTAATTTGAGTAATTCCAGGATCGTATAGTAGTCGACATATCGTAAAACGGAGTCCCGGATACTCCAGGAATGTCAGCCCTAGTGCGAGTTTACGGATAAATAAATCAGTTACAGATAAACGAACCAGTTGCAGATCAAGAACAGAGGAAAGAACTACGTGTGGCTTGATCCCTCAATAAGGGTATGTAGGCAGCCTACAGTTATCAGGTGCAGTCACGAGTTAGGGGCTCAGGGTTTATGTTACTGTTTTCAGGATATTTTGGTCATTTACAACCCACGGTTACCAGGTGTCAGTTTTAAACAGGTTTCGATCCTGATTCCAAAGTGGAAATTGGGTCAGGTCGTTTCAGTTACACTACATGACATTGTGACTAATAAAAAAAAAGAATAATACTAGTCTTACCATATTTTTAGACCACAATTTTATACCCCATGATGTGGCAGCTGATGTGTACACACCACATCATGTAAAATAATAGTTGTTGTTTTTCTAATTTTATTTATTAAAATACACTTCATTCATTTAATTGATGTGGCATATGATATGGACATGCCACATCATATGGTATAGAAATGTGGGATAAAAGTGTGGTAAGTGTAACATTACTCTAAAAAAAACAATAACGTTACGAGCACCAACTTGTTTACCAACTCTTGGATACCAACACATTTGGCACATGACATGGCAACCCATGTCATCTGCCACCTCATCTATTTTAATTACATAATTTATTATATAAATAAAAGAATTTAATTATTTTTATATTTGCCTATTTTTGTTTTCAGTGAGAAATTCTTTTATTTATATAATAAATTATTTAATTAAAATAGATGAGATGGCAGATGATATGGGTTGCCATGTCATGTGCCACATGTGTTGGTATCCAAAAGTTGGTAAACAAGTTGGTGCCCGTAGTGTTATTGAAAGAAAAAAAACTCATTTTACTAATACAAAATTAAGTCAACCCATTTGTGACATTACATGACATTTTGACTAACACTGAAAAAACCCTCATTTTACTAATACAAAATTAAGTCAGTCCACCAAGAATAATAATAAGAATGACAATGAGTCTCATAATTGCTTAATGATGAAAATGAAAAAAATATAAAAACATTGAAAAATGTTTTGGAATTAATTAGGGAGTTTCACTAAAACACCCAAAATGGAGGTTGAAATTATAAAAAAACCCAACACCCAAAACACTTTATAAACACACCCAAAACTCATCATTACACACACTCAAAACCCTCAAAACCCATTTATAAACACACCCAAAAAGTTGACTTTGGAGTTGATTTTGGGTGTGTTTCTATGTTTAAATAGTGCTTGGGTTTTTTTATAAATACATGTCTAGGATTGGGTTTATTTATAAATTTGTAAATTAATTATAGACAAAGAAAGAAAGAAAGAAAAAGGAAAGAAACAGACCAACCCCATATTTGGTAGTCGCTGTGAGAGGAGCATATTTGATAATCCAACAAGAAGAGCAACCGTTGCAGTAGTGATGATGAAGCAACAGAAGTAATTTGCTCGTCTCTCTCTCTCTCTCTCTCTCTCAACTTTTTCATCATATCTTCCCTTACCACTTTCCCTTGCATTACAAGCAAAGTTCCTATCTAAAACACTAGCCATTCCT